CTCCAGTGGCTCTGCTACATTGGGAGATCGGCTCCCTTGAGGAGTGAACACCAGAGAGTCTGCAGATGGCGGGTCTCGGGCCATTCAACCGAAGGCGCGGGGCCCACAAATGGAGAAGAGGTCAGTGGACAAGCTGTTGGGGACTGTCAGAGTAAACCAGCCTCTAACAGCCGAGGGGTCCATGGACACAATTGTACAGTTGTAATAGATAAAGACCATAGTAAAGTCATAGAAGATAGGAAAGATAAGAGAGTAAAATAAAGAAATCAGACACATTTTTTTAAATTGTTTTACTAGGGGCTCATGCAACTCTTATCACAATCCATACATACATCAGTTGTGAAGTCAGACACATTTTATGGTAGCATGCTTACCTCTCCGGGACGGCCAGGATCTCAGCCGCCAAGTCTGCACAGAGAGAGTCTTTACTGTCTTGGGATATTTATAGGTAGTCCTAAGACATGCATGTTCAGTAGTTACATACAGGTGGGTATGTGGCCACCACAGTCAAGTTCCTGAGCTCACAGGTGAGGAAACAATACCTGCATTGGGGGAAGGCATGAGGGGGGATGGGTGCTGAGGCGAGAGGAAATGACCAAAGAATATCTGCTTCTGCAGGGAGACAGCATCAGCCATGTGCTCATTTTAAGGCAGCACAGCTGGTGGGGGGAGAATCTGTGGAAGTGATATTTAAAGCAGGATCATGTACTTGGACTTTAACTTACCAAAGTGGTGGCTTTCCTACCCTGGAATACTAGCTTTCCAGATTCCCTTTGTTATAAGGGAATATACTAGTCCCCATCATATTTCCCTCAGCATTAGTTTCCCACAGGGGACAGAGGTCTTTTTTTTTCTTTTGATATGACATTTGTACAAATCTGACAAGAAAACACCTTTAAGGGTAAAGTATAATCTCTAAAACCAAAAATCTAAGCGCACAAGACAGGGTAGAACTGTCCCTGCGGGTTTCCAACACTAACTCTGCTAACTGTGTGTGAATTGAGAGCCTTCTCTTTCTTCCATGCAGTGGCTGGTGGTTTCAAACTACTGATCTTGCAGATCGCAGCCTAACATGTAACCACTATGCCACCAAGGCGCCGATCCAGCAGAGATAGAGACTTGTTATTTTGAGAAAGGCTGCTTTTTCCAAACAACTCTTCCCCGGCCTCCAGAGCCTTAAGACATGCAAGCCTTCTTGCTTTTGGATCATTTCTGCAATCTAGCAGGAGCCCTGGTGGCACTGCCCAGTAAGCACTGGACTGCTACTGCAAGGTCGGCAGTTCAAACACACCAGCTGCTCTGCTGGAAAATGATGAAGTTGTTTACTCCTGTAAGATTTGTAACCAGATCTAAGAAAGGGTTGCTATGAGTCCAATCGACTCAAAGGCAGTGGGGTCTGATTTAGCAGGGGAGACATGTCTACATCACAGTAACATCTGGGGACGTAATAAAAAGTCTAGGTCGGGGAGAGGTCAAAGGCAATGCCAGCCCTGGGCTTCAAAGGAGGAGGAGGTCCCGAGGCAGATAAAGAGATGAAGGCATTTCTGGTGGACAGACTACGCAAAGGCATTCCTCGTGTGGCAAGAGGGTTGGTGGCAGAAGCTGGAGCTTGTCTCCTTGAGTGCTAGGATTTTAATCCGTCAAGTCAACTCTCATATAAAAACAAGTTTATGCTGACCACCCCGCCCC